GTCAAATGCCAAGTCTGGAACTTCCCACTTGTGTGACCAGGTCACTTCCTTCCGATCCTGGTCTGTTGTGCTGTAAGGTCAACAGTACTGGACCACGGGGAGAAGGGTGGAGGGGTTGGGGTGGGTGGTCGTAGGCTTGATAAGCTGATGTCTGTCTAGGACAATGCTCAGCTCAGGCAAGTGCCTAGGTCACGGGAGCAATTACTACTCCACTCTGTCTGCAGGTGGCACAGTGGTTAACTGCTCGGCTGCTAACCAAAAGGTTGGCAGTTTGAACTCACCCAGTGGCTCCACAGGAGAAAGACCTGGTGATCTGTTCCCATAAAGATTACAGCCCAGAAAACCCTGTAGGGCAGTTCAACTCTGTCACATGGTATCACTACGAGTCAGAATCAACTCGAAGACACCCAACGACTGTCTAGCTCACAGTGGGAACTGAAACATTTCCTGAACTAAATTACTAAGTCATAATTGCCATTTGATATATATGCTAGTCTTTTTAAAGAAAAAAAATCCAGTTTTGTCTATCAAAGCGAAGAAAAAGACTACTTTGATCTTTAAATGCCTTTAGCATCAATTAATCCAAACACATTTTAAATTTTAAAAGTTCTGAGTCTAGTAATTCTGCTGCAAAGTTTTTTCTAAATTAGATGTCCTGTAATGACTGTTTTTCTTGTAAAACATTAAACCAGGAACAAACACCTATTTGCAAAGGATTTGAAAACAAAAGGCCTCACCTGGTCGAGCCAAAACATATAACCACCAAGCTGTTTTGCGTTTTGTTTTTTTAATCTACCTATTTAGTATTGGGCGGTGGAGGGGAGTAGATAAAACAGAATAAATACAATATATTTGTTTTTGTCCAAGACAATAGTTAACTGATTGTCTTAATTATTTAGTGCCACTGTAACAGAAATGGCACCCTGGTGGCACAGTGGTTAAGTGTTTGGCTGCTAACCAAAAGGTCAGCAGTTCAAATTCACCAGCCGCTCCTTGAAAACCCTACGGGGCAGTTCTACTCATAAGGCCACTATGAGTCAGAATCGACTCAATGGCAATGGTTTTGGTTTGATTTTTTTATAACAGAAATACCACAAGCAGATGGCTTTAACAAACAGAAGTTTATTCTCTCACAGACTTTCTCTGTCAGCTCTGGAGGAAGGTCCTTGTCTCTTCTGAGCTTCTGCTCCTAGGCAATCTTCACGTGGTTTGGCATCTCTCTTCCCTCATCTCTGCTTTTCGAATTCTTGTTTAATCTCTTTTATATCTCAAAAGAGACTGACTCAAGACACACCCTACGCTAATCCTGCCTCATTAACATAAAAAAGACAACCCATTCTCAAATGAGATTGTAACCACAGGCCATGGAGTTGATTCAGACTCAGAGTGACCCATTAGGATAGAGTAAAACTGCCTCATAGGGTTTCCAAGGAGTGGCTGGTAGATTCGAACCGTCGACCTTTTGGTTAGCAGCCAATGTCTTAACCACTGCACCACCAGGGCTCCTCCACAGGCACAGAAGCTAGGATTTACAACACATATTGGGGGACACAATGCAATCCATAACACTGAACAACTTCTAACAGAGTCAGCAGACATGAACAAAGGTAGTATACCATTAGGTTAAGAAAAGAGGCACAGACTCACATTTGGCCAGGAAGGGCCTGAGAGATTTTCCACCTCATGTTCCCAGCACAGGAGTATCCTTAGGGGAACTTTAAAAATTAGAACCTTCTGATGGGTCCTTCTAGCAGCTGGCTACGTGGTGTGTTCACTTTGTGAAATTTACCCAGCGGCACACTGATGACCTGTACACTTTCTACATGTGTGATCTATTTCATTCAAAAGTTTACTCCCCCAGGGACTAGAATGTGCAGGAGGGCTGAGAACCACCGAGTGTGTCTCCATGTGCCATGTTCACGCTTTTTCCCTCTTTCTACCACCCAGAATGCCCTCCCAAGGAACTCCCCATCTTGTCAAGGCTGGGCCCAGTGGGGAAGCATTTCCTGTGGCCCTAGAGGCTTCACCCATGGCAGAGGCCTGAGGCAACAGCTCGCTGATCGGGGGCAGGGGTACCTGGGTTAGCTAACTCACAGCGGGGTTGGTAACTGTTCCCACCTCTGACTACAAACTCTACCAGGCCAGGAATTCTGCCTTGAGGCCCTTACTCATGTGTGAAACATTTACCTGCTCCCAGGCCAAGAAGTGTCTGGCACAAGAAGGTGATCTGGTGAACTCCAGGAGTTAATGGAGGAAGCCCCAGGAAGCGTGGCTTCTGCCTGCCCCAGCCACAGAGCTGGTTCAAGGAGCGAGAATACTGGAGTGTTGAGTCCCACAGGCCGGTACGAATCTCAGCTCCTCACTACCAGCTGAGAAATCAGGTTATTTAACTGTTCTCTGCCTCAGTTTCCTCAAGACTCTACCTCAACAGTTTAAATGGCAAAATTTTTGTTATATATAATTTACCACGATAAAATTAAAAAGAAAAAAAGAATACCAAAAAAAAAAAAAAGTCCCTACCTCATGGAGCTGCGTAGTGTTAAATGAGGTAATGCACTGAGAGCCTTGACAGAGCACACCCTACATGCCAAGTGCTCAAAAATCATTAGCTATTTCTATCACAGGTCGGTTGTCCAATTTTGAGAGTCCCTGCTGGATATTAACCATGTTAAAAACATGAATGTACACCTAGACACATGCTATTGTTGTTGTTAGGTGCCACCTAGTCGATTCCAACTCACAGCAACCCCGTGTGTCAGACTAGAACTGCCCCATTAGGTTTTCTTTGCTCAGTCTCTACAGGAGCATATCACCAGGTCCTTCTCCTATGGAGCCATCCGCTAGGCGGGTTTGAACTGCCAACCTCTCAGTTAGCAGCCAACCGCTTAACCACTGTGCCACCAAGGCTCCTTCACCTAGCCACGTACCAAAACCAAACCAAACCCGTCGAGTCGATTCTGACTCATAGAGACCCTATAAGACAGAGGAGAACAGCCCCCTCCCCATAGGGTTTCCAAGGAGCAGCTGGTGGATTTGAACTGCTGATATTTTGGTTAGCAGCCGAGCTCTTAAATCACTGTGCAACCAGGGCTCCATAAGTGCCCTGAATTCTCTTTACAAACCCCTCATTAATAGCATCAGCCACTCACTCGGCTCTAGATGTGAAAAACGAATGCCAAACATCCAAGTATTACTGTAGGGGTATGTGGAATGAAAGACTCGTGGACTGATGGTGGCTGGTTGCCAGAGCTAGAGGTCAAGGGTCTCTGTGAGACATCTTCTGGTTCTGTTTATGCCAATGGGGACATCTCAGAAAGTTCTGTGAGCCAGTGCAACTGCTGTGTTGTGGTGTCTGGTTGGGGGTAGGGACACGGCAGTGCTGGAGCATCAGGCCTTCCTCCCAGCAGACCAAGGATACTCCATAAAGACCACTGGACTCCATGTAAATATAAAATCTACTTTTTCTCCTAGCTTGAAAGGTCAACCCATGTCTATAGGGTTTGAAAGCCAAGGAAACCACTTCAAAGTCACAGGGCCACAATTATGAGTCTTCCGTGGTTTCAACAAAAGAGTACTGTAATCAGAGACCATAATGAATGGAATGATGTGGAAGAAGCCCTTCAAAAACTTTTAACTGAATCCACCAATTGAGAAGAACCAAAGAATTAATAAAAGTGGTTCTGATAACTGAATCCATAATATGTCATTCTGTCCCTCCATCGTCCAATCCACACATGCTTGTTATGGCCAAAGAGGTTTCCAGGTACAGTCTCCATCCTGCTCCAACACAAAGAGAGAACGAGACAGAACTGCCCCATTCCTCATTCCTGAGGATGGGTTACCAATTAAGCAGGAAAAAAAAGAGCTCTGATACACTAATAAAGGGAGAAAAACACCACTATCAAAGTCCACAACTTCCACACACAACTCCTCCCTCTACTTCCAAGGCAGGTATACATGATACAGAAATCTGAAGAATTTTTAAAAATCAATTTTGTTCTTTCTGGCATCAAGGGTTATCTTTTCCAAATATTTGTCAATGTTGATACTCAAGGAATAAATCACCTCAAAGCTATGATACGCACCTTAAGCAGAAAATGCACCATTGAGGTAATCATTCAAGGTGCAGTCAATCTGTTTAAGTGGAAGGGAAGGTTCTCCTGGGTAACGAAATGATTAGGTTTCAATGCCCAGCTCTTTACAACAAACACTATGCAAGATGCCTGTCCTCCTGAAAAGGGTTAAAAAAAAAAAAAAAAGAATTCAACCTCTCAATCTGGTGGATTGAGAAGCCATTCTTCCCAGGGGATTCTCATTTCGGGCTGCGAGGCTGAGGCTTTGTGCGCGCGCCGCCCCTCGGCCCCCGCCCCTCCTCCCACAGGGACCGTTTCTCCAAGGTTCCCAAGGCCACCTGCTTCTCCTTAGAAGAAAAAGAGGCTACTCCAAGGGCCATCGTAGTGCGCGGTAGGAGTCCTCGCCGGTGCTCCCCCTTCCCTGGAGAGGAGAGGGATGTGTCTCCGGGAAGCGCGCTTTGTCGCTAGGGTCACGCGGCCTCCCGCAGCGGCCCCAGAGGCCTGAGAGAGGTTTTGTCCCGGGCCCCGTTCAGGGGTCTCCTCCGAGGGACCTTAGTCCCACAGGGAGAGGGTTCTTTCCACGCGCCGCCCGCCGGGGCTCCACGGCCGAGCCGGCTACCTGCGTCCGAGCGCCACCCCGCCCACCCGGCCGAGCTAACGGCGCGTCGCCGGGGAACCTTCTCCATCTCTCCTCTGGCCGGCGTGGCACCTGCTCGGTAGCGCCCGCCCAGGGTTCTGGGCGGGAGCGCGGAGTTGTCCTCTTGGCCAGCTCAGAGGGTCCCGCGCCAACGAGTAGGAGGAAAGGTCTGCCTTGGGTGCTCGTCTCCTGGGGCCGCGCCCTGCCCAGCGCGCCCGAGGTGCCCCCACCCCAGTGCCCACCGAGGCAGGGACTGTAGCCAGGGGGCCTGCCCGCCCCTCGGGCCGTACCTTGTGTGGCGCCCGCAGCAGCCGGTGGACCCCGGCCAGCTGGCTGCCGAGAGCAAGGTCCTCCCGGAACGTGAACAGCGGCGGCCGGCTGGGCTCGGGGAAGTTGGTGCTGTTGAAAGGGTCTGTGTCGTCCAAGAACTGCACCCGGCAAGCCAGCGTGGCCATGATGCATCCCTGCCGCGGGGACGCGGGCCCCGGGATTAGCGGGGCCGCGGGCCGGGCCGCTGCGTTCAGGGAAGGCCGCGGCAGCCGCTCACTGGCTCGCGGGCTCGAAGGCTTGGGCGCGCCAGCTGCAGCCCCTGCTCCGGCCGCGGGGGGCGGGGCGGGGCGGGACTCCCTTCTTTCCTCCGGCTCCGCCCCTCCTCCGCCCCCTACACACCCCGCGCGGCTGCCCTGACCGCCGCGACGGATCGCGGAGAAGGAAAAGCGGCGTTCGCATGGCGCCGACACCGTGAGCCAAGCCTGGGCCCCGTGGACCGTGGCTGCACGTGCGCCCCTCAGAGCACGGGGTAAGGGAGGGCAAGGCCGCCCCTCCTAATTCTTCCCCACCTGGGAAAGGACTTAACCCAGGTGGAAACCCCCAGACGAAGGCGGTGGCGGCCGGAATTCTGTTGCCCAGATTCGGAAAACCTGGGCACTTGGAAACGAGGAAGCCAGCCTCCGGTAGCAAGCGGGATAGTGGCAGCAACCAGGGAGGAGGGAGATCCGGGGGCCCAGGCAGCTCTTTCTGAAAAGACAAGCCTAAGGGGTGCCAGGCAAGAGACCTGGGGGCTCCCGGCGGGTGCCAATAAGCACCTCTGCATTGCCTCTCTCACCAGAATTAGGTTTCCGAAAGCCCTAACTAAACCTCTGGGGCCTCGGAGGCTTTTCTGGCGAGGTCACTAAATTGCGGCGGGGCAGCGGCGAGCCAGGGGCCCCCGCTTATAACCTAGGGTCTTACAGGGAAGGCTTTTAGCCGGCCGGCCTCGCCACGCCAGAGCCGAGACTCGGCGCTGCCTCCCACCGCTCTCCACGCTGCTCACGGGCGACCCCCTTCGTTTGTTTGCAGTAAGAACTCACGGTCCTATGGAGCACTGTGTTTGTTTATGGTGATGGAAAATTCGCATTGATTAAGGGTAATGGTTGCACAGCTGATTCGTGTAATTGATGTCAATAAGTTGTACACCTGTAAAACGATGAACTGGTAAATGTTGTGTGATATGTATTTTCACAAAAAAAATGCAGCTGCTGAGGCTGCTTATGTACAACCAAACACCTCATGGGATTTGGTTCCTTGGTTTGGAAGTTTAGGGTCGTGGTTTCATAGGACATCCCAGTTAATTGCCCTAATATTGTGTTTAGTGCTTCTGTTTTACCTCCTAGTTCGTTGTGTAGTGCCTGGAGTCTTAAAAGCTTGCAAATGGCCATTCAAGGTACAATAATTGGTCTTTATTTGCCTGGAGCAAAGAAGGAAGAAAAAGAGTCAGGAATTGCAGGAGAAAATGGAATACATGGCTATTTGCCTCCATGAACAACTGCCTTCTTTGCCGTGAGACCAGGAGAACTGGATGGTGCCTGGCTACCATTACTAAAAGTTTTTATCAAAGATTCTATAGAAGAGTCTTGATCAAAAGGGAGAAAAATGTGGAAGAGAATTCAAAATTCTCATGGAATCCAGACTTTCTGGAGCTATTAAGGCTGGGTGAATCCCTGAAACCATTGCCCTGAGATAATCTTTCAACCTTAAACCAAAAATATCCCCAGAAGTCTTCTTTAAACCAAACAATAGGTTAATTAGTAAAGACTTTCTGCCTTGAGCATTGTGCTTTTTTAGAGAACTATCTGTATGGGATCAAACTGACAACAGCAACGTGAAAGGTTAGACAGGAAACTTAGGAGGCAGTGAGTTTATGTTAACAGGGGAGGAACAATTCAGAAAAGGAGAATGAGGATGGTTGCACCTCTTGAAGAATGTAATCAATGTCACTGAAATCTACATGTACAAATTGTTGAATTGGTATATGTTCTGCTGTGTATATTTTTAACAACAAAAAGAAATCACCGTCCTCTCCATTCCCAGACCACAGCAAGTCCCGGATTCTTCATATCTCATATAGGTCACACTGATGATTCACAATGACTGTCAACACCCCCATCTTTACAAGGCAGTTCTATAACCCACCTCTCTCCCTTTTCTCTGGTGTTAATGGAAAAGAAAACCTTGTCCCGTACTTAGACACTTCATCTGCATCTTTAACCTTTTCCTCTCCACAGACTCTTTCGCTGCCATGTTGTTAGATGCTGTAGAGTTGATTTTTGACCCATAGTGACCCCACTGCCCCCTAGGGTTTTCTAGGCTGTAATCTTTATAGGAGCAGTTCAGAGCCGGTGGGTAGGTTCGAACCACCAGCCTTTTCGGTTAACATCCAAGCAGTTAACCATTACACCACCAGGGCTCCTTTTCCCTGCCATACATGTACGTTCATGTGGTCTTAAAATAATTTCATGACACTTTTGCTCATTCCAGTAGAACTTTCAGCTCTCCTTACTTTTGCTACTTAATTCTTTGCATGAGTTCTCTAGACCTGCCCTACACCAGCTCTACCAGCTACTCATGGCCAGAATACTAAATCTGCATAATCTACTCCTTTGACACCTAGGCCTCCTACCCTTCCACTTTCACTGTCCAACTGCCTGCGCACTTAGAGAGCCCTCCAGCCCTTCTGGCCACCCCCATTTCTCATCACCCCTCCCAACTTGGGTCCCAGTCCATCACCACACCTCTCCCAGGCCTCATCTGCCCCGTGAGTCCCTGCAGGCCTTGGGGCTACTCAGTCAACCATTTCCAGGGCCCCTCAGCAGTGCTCATTGTGGCCTCCCAGTCCCCTCATGCTGCTGCCCAAACTTCTGCTACTCTTCTCCACCCACAGATTCTTCAATAAAGAAAATAATCTCTCCAGTATGAACTCCACTCCCAGCACTCCCTCTTCTTCCTCCCCAGGCACCATCTTTCATCTCAGGGAATGACCAAAGCCCTGTTTTTCCTCCTGCTCAAAGCTCTACCACCACCTGGGCCCTGGGTCCTGCCCTTGTCACTTGCTCTGGGATGAAGCTCTGTCATTGACCCAGCCACCTTCCTCCCTCTCCTTTCTGGCTTCCTGGCCATGCATCTCTGCAGTCATGTAGGGCGCTGCATGTAGAAGGGCCCCATGCTGGTATCATGCTCTGCTGTTGCCATTAAGAAATTCTTAATTTTTTAACAAGAGGCCCCTCATTTCCATTTTGCACTGCACCTCACAAATTATGTAGTCAGTCTGGATAAGAATAAATATTCAGGTGTTTTCCATCCTGAAAGCTCTATCTTTATGCTTTAGGAAACTCACTTCTCACTCTATCTCACTGGCTTATTTCTTCTTCACTTCCTCATCAGCTTCTGAAAGAGCCAGGTTCATTTCTGAGCATCCTCACAGCCTCTTTGCTCCACACCTTACAGCATCTGGTGGGCAAACCCTCCCTGCGGCTCTGAGATCATCAATGCCATCCTAATTGCCCCATCCAGGGGACACCTCAACCCTATGACCCACTTTCGTGGAAGCATCTGCCACCCTGGACCGCTCTTTTCCCAAACTCTCTTCTCTTCCCTTCGGCCACAGTAGTTCTTTCCACTCTAGTTTCTCCTTCTCTCTCTTTGGCAGCTTTTTCTCAAGTCCTGGGTTCTGTTCTCCTCTTGGCCCTCTTCACAGTTTCTCTCCATTCCCCTGGAGAATCCAGTACTTCTCAACCTGTATGTGTATGTTGTCCAACTCCAAACCCACAGAGATCTGCTCTCCTCACCTTGAGGCTCTGATTTGCACTGGGCGACTCAACATCCCTACCCTGGTTACCACTCTACGGTAAATGACACCCTCAATGCAACACACAACCTGGCTGCCTATCCAGAATCTCCTCTGTAAGGCTGCTACCTGCCTGGCTGCTTTGCCTGCCAGCCTGCTGACTCCAGTGCTCTCAGAGCACTCAGAGCATAAAGCATTACAGTATCACTTACTACTCGCTGATTCTTTGTGCTCCCACTAAACTAAAATTCCTCTTGGGCAGGAACGATGCAGTTTTCATCTCCATATCCCCAGTGCCTAGCAAAGTGCCTAACACAGAGAAGTCACACAGTAAATGCCTGATGAATGAATGAACATCAGAGTCATCTTTGACTCCTGTATCTTGCAATTGATCACTCTGACCAGCCACGAAATCTGCCTCTGAAATATTTCTCAACTCTTTTCTCCTCTCTAGCCCTCACACTCTATGCTAGTCTTCTAATGAATCTCCCTTCTCTAATCTTCTGCTCTGAATGTGATCTTCCCCTGGATTCCCCAGAGCCAGTGATCTTTCCAAAATGTGAACTGATGTGTTGTACCGTAGAGTAAAATTCTTACATGCCAAACCCCTCAGCATGATTCACAAGGCCCTCTAAGACCTGTCCCAGCCCGCGGCTCCAGGCTCATCACTGGCCATTTCCAACGACACACCCTGTTTCAAGCCACACTATACTTCTTACCTTTCCCCTAATATGTTGAGCTGTTTCACGGTGGTCTTCTCGACCTAGAATGGCCTTCCCTGTCTAGTTGCCCGGAGCTCCTGCGTGGTGCCAACGGTTAATGTTCTTGACTGCTAACTGAAAGTTTGGAGGTTGGAGTCCACCCACAGTTGCCTCAGAACAAAGACCTGTTGGTCTACTTCTGAAAAATCAGCCACTAAGAACCCTATGAAGCACAGTTCTACTCTGACACACATGGGGGTGTCATGAGTTAGAATCAACTCCATGGCAACTATCTAGTTAGCCAACTAAACCCATCTATCCTTTAACACTCATTTCTAAGGTCACTTCTTCTGGAAAGCTATCTCCAACTCCATCCCAAACAAGGATTGTCTGTCCTCTGTGGTCTCAAATAACTTTATAATGCCCGTTTTGTAGCACTTTTCACACTGCATTGTAAATATGTACCTACCTATATGCCTAATCCACTAAACCATAAGACTTTCAGGATTGGAGTTTGTCTTACTCAATTTTAATCTTAAAACTTCAAACAATGACTGGCACCTAAAATGAAACCTTTAAAATTTTTAACTACATAGGCTATTGTTCACTCTTATAAGGATTTTTGCCCAGACGATTCCTTTGAGACTGCTCTTAGTAATAATTTTTCCTCTGATTAACAGCCAATGTTTTTTCTCCTATTTTTAAATGACTGTTTTTTTGTAATATAATAGTTTCTCTTAGTTTAAAAGGTCAAAGAGTAATAAAAAGTTTCAGCAAAAAAACCAGTTCCCTATTTTACAGCCTCTACCCCCACAACCCCACTTCCCATAGGCATTCATTTCTAAATAATGGGAGCATATGGCTATACCTTGATCTATCAAATGTTAATCAGTGTATCAGTACATTAACTTTCTATCATGCTACATAAGGATGTTAGCTTTTTTATACTCTACTTCTCTTTCTTCATCCTCCCAATATAGTTTTATCACAATTTTAATTATTCAGTGGTTTAAAAATTATGCCAAGTAGTGTACATGATTACATGGCCTTTGTTATATAGCTTTTTGTTTTTCTTGGAGTTCATATTTGCCTCTTTTTTTTTTTCATTTACTTATATTTTTCTTGAACAGCTGGCTAAATCTTCTCGTATCCTTCAAGAACTCTGAAAATCCCCCTCAGTACTGTCGAATAATCTATCAGTTCTATATTTTTCCCCAAGACTTCCTTCCTAGAGACATCTCTCTTGGAGTTCTCCGTCTTCCTGTTCCAATTTGGAATGTATTTCTCAGCTTATCCTCTTGGAGATTTCCTTAGCTTCTCTCTTGTGTGGAAGCCCCTGGTTCCCAGGTCACTTGTCTTTCTTGTTTTACACTTCATTTTTTTAAGCACATATCCCAGCAGCTTCCTGAGAAGGGGCAAGTTTTTAAAAGCTTTTATGACAAAAGCATCTTTATTCTATTCTCACACTTGCCTTGATAAGGTACTTTTGTTGGCAAAGAAGGCCCCAATATTCCTCCCAACTCTTGTATTCCCACCATTTTGCAATATGGCTTTGTCAAACCTCCTATCAAAAGGTGGAGTCAAACAGCAACTCGAAAGATTAGATAGAAACCTCAGGGGGCAGTGAGTGTATATTAATGGAGGAGGAACAACTCAGAAAGTGAGGATGAGAATGATTGCACAACTTGAAGAATGTAATCAGTGTTACTGAATTGTACATGTAAAAACTGTTGAATTGGCATATGTTTTGCTGCATATATTCTCAACAACAACAACAAAATAAATAAATTTTAAAAAAAACAAGTTGGAGTTTATGTACCCACTCCTTGAATTGGGGCAAATTTGTGACTGGCTTTGACCAGTAGATTTGGTGGAAATGACATTGTTTGACTTCTGAGACTAAGCCTCAAGAGGCCTTACAGTGTCTGCTCTCACCCTATTGAATTGCTGCCCTAGGAATACTATGTAAAGAAGGCAGGTCTAGCCTAGAAAAAGTAGCAAGAAAATTGCTGTTGAAAAATGGTTACCTCTGTTATATAGTAGTAAAACTGGCAAGACAATTAACTGCAGTATCTTGAAAAATAGAAGGGTATCTAATGAACTTACAGACTTGGCTAAGGAGATCTCTAGATAGTATATTGAAATACCAGTTGGGTGCTTCAGGCTGTATATAATAAGTTATCTGTTTGCAATCAGAATCTAGAGGAAATAGAATCTAGAGGATGTAAGACTTGCTGTGTTGGAAAACTGTCCCCAGTCTGTCCAGCCAACAAAAGATTATCTAAGTAAGAAACAACCTTGGTAAAGATAGATTTTAAAATGTGGCAGTACCACACAAAAACATCACAAGAAAATAAAACTGCAGGCCAATATGCCTTATGAATATAGATGCAAAAATCTTCAACAAAATACCAGCAAACTCAATCCAACAGCATATTTAGAAAATTCAAAAAAATACGCAAGAAAGCTGCTAGAGCTAATAAATGATTTCAGCAAAGTGACAGGGTCCAAGATCAACACATAAGAGTCAACATTTTTTTAAAAAATCAGTTGTGTTTCTATACACTATTAATGAACAATTTGAAAAGGAAATCAAGAAAACAATTCTACTTACAATAGCATCTAAAAGAATAAAACATCCAGGAATAAATTTAACCAGGGAGGTGAAAAATTTATACACTAGAAACTATAAAGCATTGCTAAAAGAAATTAAAGACCTCTATCAAGTGCAAAGACATCCCGTGTTCATGAATTGAAAGACAATATTAAGATGGCAGTACTACCCAAAGTGATCTACAGATTCCACACAACCCCTATCAAAATTCCAATAGCCTTTTTTGCAGAAATGTAAACAGTGATCCTCAAATTTCATATGGAATTGCAAAGGGCCCCAAATAACCAAATATACTTGGGGGGGGAAAAAAAAGCACCAAGTAGGAGGACTCACATTTGCCAAATTCGAAACGTACTATACAGCTACAGAAATCAAACGGTGTGGTACTGGTATAAGGACAGACATACAGACCAACTGAATAGAACTGAGAATTCAGAAATAAACCCATACATATATGAGCAACTGATTTTTAACAAGGATGCCAAGTCTGTTCAATGGCAAAAGAATAGTCTCTTCAATAAATGGTACTGGGACAACTGGACCTCCACATACGAAAGAATGAAGTTTACACCATACACAAAAATTAACTCAAAATGGATAAATAGCCTAAATATAAGAACTAAAACCATAAAACTCTTAGAAGAAAACCTAGGGGTAAAAGTTCAAGACCTTGTTTTTTGGCATTGTGTTCTTGGATATGACACTAGAAGCGTGAAAAAGAAAAAATAGGTAAATTGTACATCAAAACTTAAAATTTTTGTGTATCAAATAACTTTATCAAGAAAGTCAAGAGATAACTGACAGAAGGGGAGAAAATCTTTGGTAACCATATATCTGATAAGGGCTTAATATTCAGAATATATAAAGAACTCCTACCACTCAACAACAAAAAGACAACCAAATTAAAAATGGGCAAAAGGCTTGAATAGATATTTCTCCAAAGAAGATATACAAATGACGAAAAAGCACATGAAAACATGCTCAACATTATTAGTCATTAGTCATGAAAATCTTAATGAGATACCACCTCACACCCACAGGATGTCTGTAATAAAAAAAAAAAGGAAAATAACAAGTGTTAGTGGGAATGTGGAGAAGTTGGAACCCTTATCCGTTGCTGATGGGAATGTAAAATGGTTCAGCCACTGTAGATAATATTCTGGTTGTTCCTCAAAAAATTAAACATAGAATTACCATGTGACCCAGCAATTCCACTCATAGGTACATACCCAGAAGAATTGAAACCAGATACTTATAACAAATTCTTGTACCTGACTGTTCATTATAGCCAAATTCTACAATGTATTCTATTTGATTTCTTGACTGCTTCTTCCATGAGTGTTGTTTGTGGATCCAGCTGAACTGAAATCCTTTATAACTTCAGTATTTTCTCTTTTTATCATGATGTTGCTTACTGATCCAGTTGTGAGGTTTTTTGTTTTCTTTATGTTGAGGTGTAATCCATATTCACAATAGCCAAAAGGTGGAAACAACACAAGTGTCCATCAAAGGATGAATGGATAAACAAATTCTGATATTTATATACAATGGAATATTATTCAGCCATAAAAAGGGATGAAGTACTGATAGATGCTACAGCGTGGATGAACTTCAACAATATTTTGCTAAGTGAAAAAAGCCAGACACAAAAGGTCACATGTTGTATAATTTCACTTACATAAACTATACACAATAGACAAATCCATAGAAACAGAAACAGGATTTGTGCACTGTTGCTGTGTTATTTGTGTTCATTCTTTTTTTTTTTTCTTTCAATCTTATACGGTTGAGGTTTTCCTCAAATGTTTTCGTGATCCTTAGCTTTTCATTCACTTTAAGAACTTACTGAAATCTCTGTTGTTGTATGCCGTGGAGTCGATTTCAAATCATAGTGACCCTACAGGACAGAATATAACTGCCCCCATAGGGTTTCCTAGGCTGAAATCTTTACAGGAGCAGATCTCCCATGGAGACACTGGTAGGTTCAAACTGCAGACCTTTTAGTTAGTAGCCAAGCATTCATTCATATCGAAAGCTCTAGGGTATAATAACGGCACTTGCCTGGTGGGCTTCACTACAGACCAAGCCAGGGGGCAAATGGCTTTTTCCTTGAATATTTTTAGGTTCTCTCTCTGGGATAGTTTACTTTCTCCAGAAAAGCTCTTACTAGTACTTCCTTAGTCCAGAGCAAGTGGGGCCTGTGCCTTGCGTGCCACACTTTAGAGAGCCTCCTCCTTCCTATCCACCCCGTACAGAGCAAGGGGTCCAAACAGCCAGGAAGTCCTACCCACCTGGAACCCAAGCCACTCTCTCTAGACTATTCTTCAGGTACCTAGGACCACAGAATTCTGTGCCCACATGGTCCTAAGCACATTTCCAAGGCCTGTGTGTATGTCTTCCCTGGATCATACTCCTAAGGGTGCATTCATGAAAACCATGTTGAATATGCAAAATGTTTATAGAGTAAAACACAGAATATACAAATAGTGTACATTATCTTCAGCCTCTGGAAAGAAAGTACGTGGGGGTAGAAGGGTCTTGAGTGTCCACTTTTAAATCTTTTTACATAAGGTGGCATCACTTTTTCTACTTCAAAAGGTTTAGCTAGTGATCTAGTTAGCTAACAGAAACCTATAATTTACCAAACTGTGGATAAACATAATGTTTCCTTGTACCCTAGGAGAAGATGAGAGAGTAAGACTTTTGGATAACCACACACGCTTCCTGACACACAGAACTCTGACAGCCACCTGGGAAGGAAACTCCCAGGTCAGTGGTGGACTCTGTCCCGACTTCAGCAAGCCGTGTCTAGGTGAGTCACTATCTCAGAGTGATGATGAAACAGTTAGGTTGCATTCACAGGTGGGAGAGAGAAGACCAGAACAGGTCTTCATGAGGATGTTTAGAAAGTGAACAAAAAGCAGTTCATTCTGTAAAACTGCAAAAAGCATCCCTTGAAACGATGGGCCATGCTTAGAAGCACCAGGAAAGGAGAACAGCAAGAAGATCAGGCAAAGGTGCATTCACAAAACTAACAAAGCTTAGGGGGCTTTCTCATCTGCACAGACCCCTTCCATAGCCCCTTCTTTTCCCATGCAAGTAAACATTCATTTTTGCACCTAATTTTTATTTTGTAATTGTGTGTTCTTTTCCTTTAAAATGGATGTAAAATTGTACAAGCATCAGGCCCACACAACATGGATCTGCTGCTGAGAAAAGGTACTATACATTAAAATTAATCCTCTCTTTCTGTTTCTGCTTCTGTCTCTTCCTGACAAAAACAGCCAATTCAAAGCTGCATCCTTAAAACAAAATCCTGAGAAACATAGATTGACAGATAGCTGCTGTTGAATCAACCCCAACTCATGGTGACCTCTGTACAACAGAAGGAAATGGTGCCGGGCCTGTGTCATCCTCACAGTTGCCCGCATGTTCAAGGGCACTGTTGTGGCTACAGTGCCAATCCATCTCACCAAGGCTGTCCCCTCACTCTCATTGGCCCTCTGCTCTCCCAAACACAATGTCTTCCTCTAGCAATGGATCCCTCCTGATGACTTGTTCAAAGCAAGCAAGTTGGAGATCCCTCCTGATGACTTTTTCAAAGCAAGCAAGTTGGACGATATTCTGTTGTGATCCATAAGGTTCTCACTAGCTGATTTTTGGGAGTAGATTACCAGGCCTTTCTTCTTAGTCTGTCTTAGTCTGGAAGCTGTGCCGAAACCTGTCCACCTTGGGTAACCCTACTGGTATTTGAAATACTGATGGCATAGCTTCCAGCATCATATCAGTGTACAAGCCATCACAGTACAACAAACTGACAGATGAGATAAATGGTGGTAAGAAACACAGGGGACCCCAAAAGAATGGTTTTGCAATGTAGGTTGAAAAATAATCTGGCCAAGAGATAATCCACAGACTAACTTGTAAAAGACTCTAACATCAATAACAACTTTCCTCAGATCTGGTCCATTAAAGAAGCCAGGCAGAAAGTCAGAGGAGCCGTAATGTTTCCTATCTTTCTGTTCAGGATTTGCTGGCCCAATTTGAACAAGTTTTCAACTCCTTGAGTGGAAAAAAAAACTGCAGTTACCTAATGCTACCACCAGGTGGTAGACGTGGCTTGTTGTTGTTAGGTGCTGTCAATGACTCACAGTGACCCTATAGGACAGAGTAGAACTTCCCTATAGGGTTTTCTAGGCCATAATCTTTATGGGAGCAGTTCGCCAAGTCTTTTCTCCCTCAGAGCCCACTGGTGGGTTCGAACCACTGACCTTTCAGTTAGCAGCCAAGCGCTTATCAACTCAGGTGTCATTTTTAGGCATAACACTAAACACAAAGTATCTCATTTATTTCTTAAACAACTTTATAAGGCAGGTACCATCATTTTCCTCACTTTTCAGATGAGGCTTAGAGATTTTCTGTAACTTGCTCATATAGGATCTTGTTTGCCACAATTTTAATTTTGGGATTTATAAGATGAGATGTGTAGCAGCTAATTCTACCAGCACAAAAGGAGGGAATTAGAAAAAGTGTTTGCCAGATGGATCCTAGCTTTCCTTCCTTCCTCTTCTGGGATGCCTGAACTCTCTCCCTGTTGAGAAGAGCCTCAGCTGTTCTCGGAGATACTGGGTGCTCAGAATACTGCTTGCCTGGTGAAGGTTTCTGCTGCGGCCAGTGTCCCTGGCGAGCCCCCTTGGTATCAGGACATACCTCAGTGTAAGTCAGCATTCAGTTCCGGCACTGGCTCTCTGGATCCACTGGATCTCTGTGATCTGCTCTCCCCAGCAGCTCACCACCTTCTTCACAGATAGAGGAAAGCTGAGAAAGGGCACAGTTGGTCCCAATGGCTTCTCCTGATCAGGGTAGGGTCCTCTAAAGAGAAAATGCCACTGCTGGAGCCACCTTCCAGTGCCCAGCTTCTCTCACCCCAGCTGGAGGGTTGGGGCATATTCTGTAAAACGACTTTTCACCTCCTTCCCTGCCATAGACCCTAGTGGCCAGAGATAGATGTGGGTGGGAGTGGGCATGGAGACTTCAGCTTTCTGTCTAGAAAGGTAAGAATCCAAAGGTGATGACGCAGCTCTGACCATCTTTGTAGGGCTTTTCCTTTCCTCCCCAGCCCAGGCAAACCTTGCATTCTTAGATACACCCCTGCCTCCATACCTCTATCAAATCACCGTGGTCTTATGATCGTCTGATTGGAGTCACTAAGCTCACAGAATACAGCAACCATGACTTTTCCTTTTTTCACGATCACCATTCAGTGTAATACAGAGCACACAACAGCTACCATGAATCACACATGAATGACTGTCACTTGCTTATTTTATAACATTTTCACTTGTATCAAAGGCAAAGCAGCCCTTCAACAAATGGTGTTGGGGCAACTGGATATTCACATGCCAAAAAATGAAATTGGACCTCTACTTTATACCATATACAAAAATTGACTCAAAATGAATCAAAGACCTAAATAGACGGGTTAAAACCATAAAACTCTTAGAAGAAAACAGTGGAGTAAATCTTCATGACTTTGGACTTGGTAATGAATTCTTATATATGGCCACAAAAGCACTAGCAACAGAAGAAAAAATAGATAAATTAGACTTCATAAAAAAAATCAAAACAATTTTTAAGTAAACAGTTATGCTATTATGTATGCTTGTGTGATGTTTTCAAATTCACTATTATGTATGCTACTATAATACTTTTTATACTGTAATGATTTTTTATAATGCTTTAAAAAAAACAGAATTTCTGAACTTAGAAGCCCCTGTATTTTTCTATAATACTCTCTAATCATTAACTGTAAGTCATTAGAAAGTTGTTCTAACCTTTGAAATGGATAATAGAAGTATGTGAAGTAGGTCATAAATAACTTCCCTAAACTGGGCTCTGCACCTGCATTCTATGATAATGGAATGTAACATTAATCAAATCTCTATAAATTAGCAAACATAAATATGTCACTAAACAATTCCTGTAATTTTTAAAATAATATTTTATTGTGTTTTCAGTGAAGGTGTACACAGCAGGTTAGGTTCCCATTCAGTAATTTCTATACAAGTTGTTCAGTGACATTGGTTACATTCTTCACAGTGCATGAATACTCTCATTATTTCCATTCTAGTTGTTCTGTTTCCATTAATCTAGTTTTCCTGCCTCCTTACATTCTCATCTTTGTCTTAATTGCTAATTGTTTGGTCTCATATAGATGATTTTTTTTTAAAGAAAAACAGTACTTAAGGGTGATATTCATTATTTTTTGAGCCAATTTGTTATTTAGCTACAAGGTGACCTCAGGGGTTAGTTTCAGTTCAAGGTTTGAAGAGTATTTCAGGGCAATAGTCCTGGGGAGTCCTCCAGTCTCAACCAGTCCAGTAGGTCTGTTTTGTTTCTTTACCCATAATTTTTTTATTGTACTTTAAATGAGAGTTTACAGAACAAACTAGCTTTTCATTAAACAATTAATACACATATTGTTTTATGACATTGGTTACTGTTGTGGATTGAATTGTGTCCCCCAGAAATGTGTGTATCAATTTGGTTGGGCCATGATTCTCAGTATTGTGTGATTGTCCACCATTTTGTCATCTGATGTGATTTTCCTATGTGTTATAAATCTTGCCTGTATGATGTTAATGAGGGGGGATGGGCGGCAGTTGTGTTGATGAGGCAGGACTCAATCTACGGGATTGGGTTGTGTCTTGAGCCTGTTTCTTTTGGGATATAAAAGAGACAAGTGAGCAGAGAGACGGGGCGGGGGGGGGGGGGGGACCTCATACCACCAAGAAAGCAGTGCCGGGAGCATATCCTGTCCTTTGGACCTGGGGTTCCTAGGCGGAGAAGCTCCTAGTCCAGGGGAAGATTAATGAGAAGGATCTTCCTCCAGAGCCAACAGAGAGAGAAAGCCTTCCCCTGGAGCTGATGTCCTGAATTTGGACTTTTAGCCTACTTTACTGTGAAGAAAGAAAATTCTCTTTGTGAAAGCCATCCACATGTGGTATTTCTGTTATAGCAGCACTAGTTACCAACCCCACAACATGTCAACACTCTCCTTTCTGAAATTTGGGTTCCCCATTACCAGCTATCCTGTCTGCTCCTGCCTTCTAGTTCTTGCCTCTGGGCTCATGTGCCCCTTTAGTCTCATTTTGTTTTATAGGCCTGTCTAATCTTTGGCTGAAGTGTGAACCTCAGGAGTGACTTTATTACTGAGATAAAAGGGTGTCCAGGGGCCATACTGTCGAGGTTTCTCCAGTCTCTCTTAGGCCGATAAGTCTGGTCTTTTTTTGTGAGTTAGAATTTTGTTCTACATTTTCCCCCAGCTCTGTCTGGGACCCTCTACTGTGATCCCTGTTAGAGCAGTCAGTGGTGGTAGCCAGGCACCGTCTAGTTATGCTGGACTCAGTCTGGTGGAAGCAGTGGTAGTTGTGGTCCATTAGTTCTTTGGACTAATCTTTCCCTTGTGTCTTTGGTTTTCTTCATTCTCCCTTGCTCCTGACCGTTTACCCATAATTTTTAATTAATTAAATAACTTGGCCTTGAAACATATGTAGTAAATGAGAACATAAATGTACCATGCCCTAATGGACAATACAGGGTTGCTGTGAGTTGGAATTAACTCGATGGCAATGAGTTTGTGTGTTTTTTTTTTAATGGACAATAATTCAAATCTCTATAAATTAGCAAAATACAAATATGTCATACAACAATGCCCTTAATTGGCAATAAAGCATACCAATTATAGTTAAACATGACAGCACAAGTGGTATATAAACCTGTAGATTTCTGCTCATTTTTGGAGAAGATAGA